TATTATTATTATTATTATTATTATTATTATTATTATTATTATTATTATTATTATTATTATTATTATTATTATTATTATTATTATTATTATTATTATTATTATTATTATTATTATTATTATTATTATTATTATTATTATTATTATTATTATTATTATTATTATTATTATTATTATTATTATTACGCCAGCACGCCGCCTCTCACCACGAGCAACTCCAGAGTAGAAGAGAGTCCTGCCTCTCTCAAGGAGTTGGGTCCCAGAGCCCAGACTGTGTGTGGAGGTGAGCCCGACTATATCTAGTCGGTATCGCTCAACCTTCCGCATGAGCTCAGGCTCTTTTCCCCCCAGCGAGGTGACCCAGAATGTTAACATAAAAAATGATTTTGATTAATCACATTACTCTGGGTTTGTGTGTGATTTCAGAATGTATATTAATGAAGTCGTTGTAGTGTAACTTCATTGTGCAGTGTGGCTGTAACTAATCAAACAGGCTAACAATTTACTGGGAATAAATTATCTTAATAGCTGGGCAATGTAGGTCAGGGGTGTAAAACTATTTTTAGTTCAGGGGCCGCATAAAATCAATTAGATTTGAAGTGGGCTGGACCAGTACAATTATAACATAATTACCTATAAATAAAAAAGTCTGTCTTTTTCCCCTTTGTTTTCACGCAAAAAAATGTACATTAGTAGAATATTCATATTTAGTAAAATGTAACTTCACAAAACATTTTCTAAGCATGAAGTGTTTGTTAGATTTTTATATTCAAAATTCATCAAGTGGCACGGTTTGGGTCTGCAGGCTGTATGTTTGACACCCCTGGTCTAGGTGTTTGTTGCTGTGTTTTAACTAATTGGGGAAAAAACTGAAATCCCTTATTTGACCCACAATGGGAAAATTCAAAGTGTGAGTCTTTGCAACCTACATAGGCTGCCACACAAAGCGCCATTGAGTATGTGGTTCCTCTGGGGCTATAACCCAGGTCCTTCTGTGGGTAAGGCAGGCATGACAACCACTACATTATGGAACAAATACCACTAGTATGTTAGTCATGCTGGTGGTATTCTTGGAGCTGATTGATAAAGTTGTGGAACACTGCTAAATTTACATGTTGCCAATTTCTTAGGGAACAAGCAACAAACAGTTGCTTGTTGGGTCAGAATACAGAATATGATGAGCAACATAAGGTGAACAGTCTTATGTAGTGACCCCCCAACAACAGTGTCAACAGCTGGTTGTAAGGCAGCATCCCATGCTACAAGCTTAATTAAGATAGTAAAAACAAAATGTTTTTCCCCACTTGGAAATCAGGCTGTAAGACCACCACGTGACGACAGATGGATTTAATCTGCAGCTGATGCAAAGAAAAGTGTCAGGTCTGTCTGTTTCCTTTTCCTGCTGTCTGCTGTGTGGGGTAATCTGTGTGATCACACTCACCTGTGTCTGTAATTAGCCTCACTTGTGTCACCTGGTGATCCCTGTATATATACCTCTCTCCCTCACTCTGGCCTGGTTGGATCATTGTAAGTTAGTGACTGGTTTTGTGAGCGCTGTCTTTGTGAGCGCTGTATCCTTCGTGCCAGTGTTGTGTAAAGCTTTTTGTTGTAGCTGTTCCTAGTTTGTTCCTGAGCAAGTCTGTTCCTGTGCTCAACTCTGTTCGTGTTCTCAGCTCTGCTCAACTTTGCGTATGTTTCTGTCCTGGTTTTTGAAATTTAGAATCTTCAAATAAACTACCTGCACCAGTACTGCATTTGGGTCCTGCCTGCTTCCTGCCATGTCGATGCCCCCTCGTGACACAAAGTTCTGTGTTTCTTATTGAAGTCATAAATGAAAAACAGTCAGTCAGTGAGGCAATGTTTACCTTCAACTTGGATGTTTCATCATTATAGTCAAGATTTCCCAACAAAAATGGATCTTTTCCACATTCATGTAAAATGGCAGATAAGTAATACTGAGAGTGGCATCCTTACTTGGTCATAAAGTCATTCCATATCTAACTATAGGAAAGAGGGCTGGACATGGTAAACTGTAACAGACATCATGTCAAAAGCCAACAGGTGATAAATATCATCTGAGCTTAAAAAACAATTTACAAACAACTGTGGATTAGAAGAAACAACACAGCTTCCTTGCTGGAGTGGAAACACATTGTCCTTTCATTATCATCCAGAATTCCAAAAGCTGGATTCAGCATCTGAAGAACTGTAAATGGAAAGTGTAAAAACTTTGTGTCGCTCAGACTGTTCTTTTAACCCCTTCTTTCCTCGTTCTCACCAACTCTGGAGTCGAGTCATGAGCCTGGACTCCATCCCTCATCTATGTATAGTCCACATGGGTTGAGACTGTAGGAGGCAGAGGATGGACTCGTGGACGTCACCACCACTCCCTGTCTCTCCTTTCAGACCTCTCACTGCTCACTACTAGTGATTAGTGATGTGCAGATCAATCCTGAAATATCGATACTTCCGATTCTGGATCTTTATGCTCTGAAATCGATTCTGAAATCAAAATATCGATACTTTTGATACTTACGCATTCTGAGATGAGGTGTATCCTAAACAGAAACATGGTGAAAAGTATCCAAATTATTGAGATGTTGTCTAAGTGACGCTCGGTTGGTGGGACTACTTCTTCTTCCGCCTGGGTGTGTGCGTCATGCTTAAGCACAGGGGCTCTACTCCGTGCTCTCACTCAGTCACTATTGATGGGAATTTCGGCTCTTTTTTGGAGAACCGGTTCTTTTGGCTCGGTTCACTGAAAAAATCCGACTCTTTCGGGTCCCAAATGGCTCCTCAGATTATTTATTTTATTTTTTTATTTATTTTTGTTTTACAAATAACATGTTTTCAGAGTTTGAAACATTGTTTTGACATATTTTATATGATTGTGTTCTCAAGGTTTTCTATTGTTGTGTTGACTGTATAGTAAATGAGGCAGCTACCTCAGTACACTCCAGAGTTTAAAATAAATAAATAAATAAAAACCTCAGCCTCGGATTCTTAAAGAAGCTATGATTTGAAATACACATGTTTTATTTAAAAGACAAATGATAAAATATCGATAACGGTATATGCGATACCAGCCCGAATTTTACTCGGTATCGGATCGGAAAGGAAATTGGTGGTATCGAACATCACTACTGTTAAGTTTCTGTATTATTTATGTTCCACAAGTATATCAGGGGAGAGCGCGGACGCAGTCCCCCACTACCAGAAATTATGCAGTCGAGATTCCCACATTTGGGGAATTCGCAGGGGTCAGCACAGCCGGAGTGCAATGGCTAAGCCTCGCCCTGGGTGAACCACCTTCTTGATCATGGTATCTCCCCTGCCAGGTAAGTATGAGTTGTACACGGGTTACACTGCCAACCCATACACTCGGAAACCCTTCTTACTGATGGTGCTACCACCTGGAAACGCATTCAAACAAAGCACATTCAAGCACTACCACACCAATGTTATAATTTATAACAAAACATAAAATAAACACACACACACACACATATATATACAGAGAACGTAGTATGTTTAAAATGGAAAAAAGGAGGATTATTATTATGGAGGATTAAAAGAGCCACACTTTTAATAAGCAGAGTACAGTCTCGTGTTCTACATCAACTACACAGACAAAACACTTATATTCATTAGAACGAGCGGATAGTGAAATTTTTTCTGACCTGTTATAGGTTAACAACGTCACTATTGCTGAAACAACTCAGTTGGATACTTATATTTCACAATTTTAGGGGGTGCACCGTTCCTGGAGGTACTGCAATACCAGGTCGATACGCGGAGTGGACGGAGCAAGCCCCTATTCCATCTCCCAGATCCAAAAATCAATTTAATATATGGTCCCCGGGTAGGGGACGTATCAGATATTAAACTGATAAGAACAGATACTACACTTGATCTTAGCCAAAAGGCCGAGAAGCGATAACGACACACCCCTGCTCTACGCTCATACTCTCCCTCAATGTCGTTTTAAGTCATGGGTCAAATGTTTAAACGTTAGATAAAACTTAACCGTAGAATTAGCGGAGCCACATGTACAATTAATGACTAAAAAAGGATCCGCTATAAACATAGATAAAACTTAACCGTATAATGATCGAAGCTACAGGAACAACTGACGACTAACTCAAATAGGAGCCGCTGTAAACATACGTAGACAAAAACATTTCACGTTGCCATTAGTTCACAGTGAAAGATTAGTTTGCAGAGTAATTCGTTTGCAGTGAGTGATTAGTTCGCAGACTGTGATTAGTTTGCAGTGAATGATTTGTGAGTGATTCGTGAGTTCAATATGAATAAATATTTAATATGACTCGGTAGTCACGAGTCACGAATCTTTCATATGACTCGGGAGTCACGACTCATATGAAAGATTCGTTCATTTTGAACGAATCACTCGCGAACGACACATCACTACTAGTCATGATTGATGGTGAGTGCTGTTGAGCTCGGGTCTGCGTCAACGCATTGTACAACAGAATCCGTGTGCCCTGAATGCAGGACTGTAAACTGGGAATCATTTTGGCGTGGCTGGATCCACCGGTTTACAAACAATAACTTCAGAGTGAACTTATCCCTCGCTCCTGGCTTTGCTTATCCAGCTTCTTGGATGTTGCCGCACACTTTTGTTTGCCAGCTGGCGCGTAAGTGATAGCGTGCAGTTCACAATACGCAGCCAACAGTACACTGATCCACAGTATGTTTCAGTGACAAGAGCCTGAGAGCGAGCTGATGCACCTGCTTTTTCAACAACTAAACCGCTTCAATATGCCGTTTTTCATCGTTACCAGATAAAGAACATGGGTTTTGCATCGCGCCATGTCCCTGTGTCGGATTGAGGTGGACAATGAAGTTATGGGATAGTCTGACCGCTTGTTTGATTCTGCTCAGCGCCCTGCGCGCCAGCCCGCTGCCCCGGGGCGCACAGCGGTCACCTTTCACCGTAAGGAAGAAAGGGCGCGTCGCCGAGAGTCCACTGGAGCCTCCGCCAGTCCAGAATCGTATGTCGGTTACTGCCGGGGGAGTCAGCCAAAGTGAGTCTGTTTGTAGGCAGGGAGGAGAGACTGGCTCCTGGAGAAACATGTTAGCGCCTGCAGTTTGGCACTGGTGCCAGAAAAACATATATACTCGCATACGTTTGCATCAATTATTTCTGCTCAATCTGGACTATGTGATTCCTCAAATACACCATAGTCTATATATAGACTGTGTGTGTTCAAGACATAAATATTGCAGAGGTTACTGAAAGCTAGAAAAATAAAGGTGTTCTTAAACTGTCAAGATGAATAAGTAGAATATGATCCATGAGTTAGCAACATTGACGTAAACCCTTTTTAATCTCAGATTAATTTAAAAAAAACACAGTAAGAACACAACCAGGAAATTGTTAGCCTCCCAATGACCAGTTAGCAAATACACAATGGATGATGTGACTAATAACTGGCTTGGGTTTTTATGCTAGTTCTCTCTAAGCTGACAGTGAAATGATGCGTTCAGATAATTCATCTTTAGGATTTATTATTATTGCCCTAAAAAGACTAATAGACTGTGTATTAAATTATTTGTCAATTACTTTGTTGTAAATCCAGTGATGGAACAATTCTTTTTAGCTGTCATGATATGAGCCCTGAGGAAACAAATGCTTCATTACAAAACGGACTTCGTTAAAGCTGCAGCAGTTTTAACGAAGTCCGTTCCAACAAAAAAGTCAAGTAGATGAATAAGAAACGGATCCACCTGGCGTTCGCGCTCGCGTTCAAAACGCAAACAATGTGTGTTTATTTTTGTATTTGCATGTGAACTGTGTGAGAGAAGTGACATTCCTCCTAATGTGTTTCAGATTCCATGGAGGGGCCTGTCCCCACTGACTATGAAGACATGGTGGACTTAATCAAAGTGAGAATCAGCAGGATACGGCACTCCTCTGTGTCCACTGTCTCCTCATCTATCTCGTTCTCCATCACCTCCTCCCCCATCAGAGAAAACTTGAGCAACAGCAGCCTTGGCTGGGTCTTGGCTATCGCTCTGGTGAAGAAATGATATTCAGGTACTGCGCTGGGCCCTGCAGGACGTCTGAGACCAACTACGACAAAATCCTCTACACTCTCACTCATAACAGGAAGCTGTCTTCCACAGACACGCCCCCTCAGGCCTGCTGTCGGCCAATAGCGTTTGACGATGACCTTTCGTTTCTGGACGACAACCTTGTTTACCACACAGTGAAGAGGCACTCTGCCAGGAAGTGTGGCTGCGTGATTTTTTTCTTAGATTTTCACATCCATGTACGACCTCAGTTCATCAGTAAATAATAGTCTTTTTTTTTTAAAAAAAGAAGAAAAGATAGCATCACCTTAGTTTCCGAAAGCTATGACTTGGATTTAACCACTTCCTCTCCCTCTTTAACCCAGTTACAGTTTCAGCAATTTCTTCATAGCTTAGCCTTTATTCTAAAAGTCTAAAACCAACGGTCCTCGAAAAACCAGTGAGTGATTCAGCAGACTCACTCACTCTTCCTGCTGTGATGCACATACAGTATATTACCAGGACACAGAAGATACAGAATATTTATAAAATGTTGAATGTCTTAACTTATTGATATATATTTATTTATATAAAAATAAATGTATTACTGGTATGTGATCATTTGTTCTGCCAAACATTTAATATTAAATCATCTTTTTTTTTATTACATAAGCAGTAAAAAAAGAAAAAAAGAAAAAAAAAAAAAAAAACTAGATTAATTACCTGGATTTGTAAAGACAATTTTATAATGTAAACAAACGCCAAGGGCATTTGGGTGTGTGAATTGGCTGTGTGAATGTTCTAAAAAAAAAAAAAGAAAAAAAAAAGTCTTTGCTGCGTGGCGGGTGTAAAGGAGGTTAAAACTTCCACTCATCTTTGTATCTTTGAAGAATAGATTCAGAGGAACCCTCCCCAGAGCCGGTCAAAGTTTTCAATATTCTTAAATTTAATTTGGCCTTTTGTGTTCTCTCCTTTTTATCACGGGATAAAAGGGAGATAGACATTAATAGTTCTTATTGACACAGGAACAGGAGCTCTTCATTTTATAAAAGACAACTATAACATGATATTATTCACTTTTTTTATTGCTAAGTTGTCTTCCTTAAACTCTCTCAATAAACGCATTCTCACATGATGTAGTGCATTCTCTAATGTAAACTCAAAGTGGAAAACTGCTGTTTTAAACCCTTTTAAAAACAACAGTGATCAAATGGCCAATTCCCAGTTTGGGTCTTTAAGTGGTAACAAATGGTGTTTGTATTCTTCTCTCTTTGTGTGAAAAAGGAAACAATTGATACATCAAAAAGGGCAGAATGTTGTTTCCATCAACAATGTACAGTGGGTCAACAAAGGTGATACAATGAAAGACATTGAATGATAAGATATGAAAGAGGAGCGGGAGAAGAGCCGACAACATAAAGAAGACAATGTTAAGGAAGGAAGTCACACCAACATTACTCTCAGGGCTGGATTAGTTTAATGGAGAGGTAATAACGCAACATATGCTATTGATACTTTGGATCCCCTGTGGTTTACTATTCAAAATTCTCTATACACCTTTATAAAAAATGCTTCATTTTGCAGAATATGCATGTGTCAATATATTTATTACTAGGGATGTCCAATAACATTGGCCAACCGATATTATCATAATTATGTAATATCGGAAAGAATCATTGACGTTTTTCCTCCGATAACGAAAACCCAAAAATGCAATGCTGGAGTTTCGCCAGATAGGCTGGAATCACTTTAAAAATATTTTGTACAGACAATGTTAATCTATGGAATGCCTCTAGTGGGGCATCACAGTAAAAGCAGGTAATGTGTTAATTCCACGACAGGAGATATGTGATGTGACCTAAAAATTGTCTCTGGGAAAAACAGTTATCGGTATGGTTTGATATCGGAATCGGAAATTCAGTGTCACTACAATGTTGGCATATTTAATCGACAAAAAGCTAATAACAGACATCTCGTCTCATCTTCCCAGGTGATCTCCCTGTCTTAGCTCCATAGTCATCTACTGTTAGTTTCCCTGACTATCCATCCCTGAAGAAAATGAATTTACCTTTGAAATTCTGCAAACTGTGGGAAATATATTAGGTTTTTTTTTTGTTTTATGTTATTATTGAAACTATAAAACCAAAAAATAACAACAAATAATTAAATAATGTACAACAATATGTACAAATTAAATAAAAACTGGTGGCGGTTTGGCCCAGAGGCAATGTCTCTGTCATTGGTGTGGAACCCCAGGGTTCACCTCCTGGGCAGGTTCGAATCCCGGTTAGGGTGGTTAATACCTTCCAGTGGACTCACCACCCGCAGGAAGGTTTGGGGGGTTGGTACGGTGCAGTGTGATTTGGGTGGCGACTGCTGCCCCCGCGACGGATAAGCGGATGAAAATGGATGGATGGATGGATAAATAAAAAATGTCTTGATCAAGTGGCGCTTTGGCCCAGAGGCAACGTTTCTGTCATTGGTGTGAAACCCCAAGGTTCACCTCCTGGGCAAGTTTGAATCCCGGTTAGGGCGGTTGGTACCTTCCAGTGGCCTCACCACCAGCAGGGACGGTGCAATGTGATTTGGGTGGTGACTGCTGCCCCCACAACCCGGTAACGGATAAGCGGATGAAAATGGATGGATGTCTTTATCAGGGATGTCCGATAATATTGGCCGGCCGATATTATGGGCCAATATTAGCATAATTATGTAATATCTGTAAGGATTGTTATCAGTTTTTCCTCCAATAATGAAAATCTGACAACGCAATGCTTGTGTTTCACCAAATGATGTGTGCCATAAAAATATTTTTGGAGATAAACGGCTGTATATTAAAGTGAAAGTCACTAGATGGCAGCATTGCAGCTCATTTTATCAATCTATTTTAATAACCAAGGGATTATTGATTTTAATAATCTGGTGATTATTAAAATATATAATAAATCTATTTTATTAATCTATTTTAATAATCAAGGGATTGTTTGCGGAATGCTGGTGCCAGCAACACAATACAGTGGTTTCTAAAGAGAAACAAATAAATTGCCAGGCCTGTATTGGTATCGGTTGATATCGGAATTAGAAATTAAGGGTCACGACAATATCTGCATATTGGATATCAACAAAAAGCTAATATCGGATTTCCCTATTTATTACCATAATAATTCAATAGACTCTTAAAAACTTTTTTTTTTTTTTTTTGGTAAACAGTTGCACGAATACTTGGTTGGAGACTTCACATAAAAGTGAACATTTAGTTTAAAAAATAATTTAAACATTTTTAAATATAGAATACAGATTCCATTTAGGCCCAGAATACCCCAATTCAGTTCATCCCTACCAGTGTATAATAGGTTTTCATTTACTTAAGAGTTATACCCAAAGGAAAAAAAGCAACAGCAATCCTTACAAACAACCTGACAGTTTTTTCTCTTTGTTTTGTTTCCCACACAGTAGAATGTGTAATTATGTGACATTTACCTGCATCTCTGATGCTAAAGATGTCACGAGTGGGAATCAACATGGCATTGCAGGAAGCAGGCAGGACCCAAATGCAGTACTGGTGCAGGTAGTTTTATTAACAAAGTCCGAATTAACAAAACAGGAAGAACTACCAGGCATGGAATTCTCTTTGTAACACAGAATACTAGGAAACACAGAACAGGAAACTCACAAACTGCTACAGAACGATGATCCAACTACGATGATCCAACACGATGACCTAACACGATGACCCAACAAGTTCAGAGTGAGGGAGAGGGGTATATATACACAGGGAGCACCAGGTGACACAAGTGAAGCTAATTACAGACAGGTGAGTGTGATCCCACAGATTACCCCACAAAGCATCCATCCATCCATCCATTTTCATCCGCTTATCCGTTACCGGGTCGCGGGGGCAGTCGCCACCCAAATCACATTGCACCGTACCAAACCTTCCTGCGGGTGGTGAGTCCACTGGAAGGTACCAACCGCCCTAACCGGGATTCGAACTTGCCCAGGAGGTGAACCCTGGGGTTCCACACCAATGACAGAGACATTGCCTCTGGGCCAAAGCGCCACCCCCCACAAAGCAGACAACAGGAAAAGGAAACAGACAGACATGACAAAAGAGGGAGGATTGTGCATTGGTATTAAGTTATAGATATTAAGTTGATATCGTTTGTGTAATGTCTGCTAGAGAATAGTGAAAAGACCAAGGTAAAACATTAGCAGAGTCGACAAAGGTGTTTGAGAACATGAGAAGAGAAGTCCTGCTTGACTTTGTAATGTGTGGTTGACATGTGATCTGCCCCTGTTCGCTCACATTTCTTCTCAACTGTGAGTCAGGGCAGTCTGATTCAACAAACACAGGTAGCTGAGGTTTAACAGCATATTCTTGAGGACTAAAAGAATCAGAGCAAATAAACTTTGTCCCAAATTTAGTTTACTACTGCAAAATATAAAAATAAAATGTCCTCCTTTGTAATTGTAATGTATTTCTTCTGTTTTGTTCAGAAGAGCTTGTAATGAAGGCTAATGTTCCACTGTAGAGTAACGCTACACAAGTGACAATGACAGGTTTTAAATACAGTTGTATTGCAGTTACATTAGAACCTGCCGTGGATCCATTCAAAAATGTTACAACAGTTATAGGTTATAAGGTAGTATCACCAAACAGAAGATTAGTGAAAGAATGCAAGACAGTTTGAACATCGAATCACTTTATTTCAACAACTAAGACATGATCAGAGACATCCTTGAGGTGTTTTGAACTGCTTTAGTAAGTTTCATTGTCAAAGAGCGATACATTTTTCTCTGATCAGGTTTTGCATCCTTCAAAATGTGCAAATGTAAAATCAGCAAAAAAATCTAATTTTTAACAAACATTGAATTAAAAAAACTGTAAAATGAGTGTAAAAGTACACAACAAATTCAAAAGTGTTAGATTTCTAGTGTTGTGTGTTGTATGTTAAAAATACAGTGTCAATTCAACACTTGTTTAGTCTAATTCAACTATGTGAGAGGTAATCCATCAAAAGAGTTGGTGTTAATCTGGGGAGTTAAATCCAAACAACTCTGGTAAATCCATCCATCCATCCATTTTCATCCGCTTATCCGTTACCGGGTCGCGGGGGTAGCAGTCGCCACCCAAATCACATTGCACCGTACCAACCCCCCAAAACCTTCCTGTGGGTGGTGAGTCCACTGGAAGGTTCCAACCGCCCTAACCGGGAGTCGAACTTGCTCAGGAGGGGAATCCTGGTGGGCCACACCAATGACAGAGACATTGCCTGTGGGCCAAAGCGCCACTACTCTGGTAAATGTTGATTTTAAAATCGTCGATGTTGGGAGAATGAGTTTCTCCCAACATCCTCTTAACCTATCT